AATGCCTTACCTTTTAGAGCAAAATGTTTCACTTACTTCCCCTCACCCATCCCACTGCTGTAAAACTCCTTCTATAATAAATACGCATGACTTCTGGCCATCAGGGCTGCAGTCCGGAGTTTACTCTGGCTGTAGCCGGCTAAGAACATGCTAAGGGCATGAGGTCTTAGTCTGATTCCTGTTCACCCGCGTTGCCTCCCTGTGCACCCACCCTGGCTGGGGGTACGGCTCCCGGCAATCTCCCTCCTGAGGAGTTGAGGGTCAGGGGAGTTCTGGATGGAGCATCTCATGGTCACCTCCATTGACTCTAGCCTCACAGCCATATTTTTTTTTCAGGCCAGCCCTATAGCCTAGTGGGTAAGGGAGCTGGATCCCACATGGCTGACCATGTTTTGAATCTGGACCTCATAGCTTGAAAAACATGCCTGGAGCATGTGTGTGCACCCCCAATCCCAACAGGATGGAAAGATGAAGGAGAAAGGACTGTAGCATGACCATACCCCAATGGGGTGTGCTTTTTTTTTTTTTTTTCTCTCTCTCTCCATCTGAATTTCTCTGACGAGTCCATGTCCCCACTGGAATTTAAAAAAACACTTTTTAATCCATTGATTGTTTCTTGAGCAACTACTATGTGTTAAACTCTGTGCTAGATCCTGGGAACTAGTAAGTCAGACCTCACCAGGAGACCTGCTGGTGTAGTTGAGAGAGACATCCACGAGAAAACAGTCTACTGTGGGCCAGTGATTACTTGCCATGGTGCCCTCCAAGCCCTGGCCACATGAGTCATTCTGTTCCTATTGAATGCATCTAGGGCATTCTTTAGTTTTGAGCTTTACTATCAGATCCTTGGGGAAATCTTTTTTGATTTCCCTCTTTAAGTCAACTTTCCAGTATAAATTACATAGCAGCATAAGCCTTTCCTTAAACTGCTTATTAAAGTTGGAGTATGCAATTTGTGCTTGGCCTTATGTAATATTTGTTCCCTTAGTAGGCTGGATTTCATGAACATAGGGATTCCCTCTCTCTTTCTGCTAGTGTTGTCACTGTTGTGGTTGTGAGTCTGACCATGAGGACTCCAGTTCTTTGCATATACCCTGACACATAGTAGATGTTTAATTAATCTTGGCTGGAAAAAAGAAAGCAGCAGGA